CCACTGAACCCAGGGGTGAATTTTGCTACTGATGTAAATGGGAGTAGGATTGGGTCCTCAATGCGCACTGACAGTTTGGGAGTAGATTAAATATACGATGCCCCAGTATCTTCTCTGTCCTGACATTTGTGGAAACCAGTAACTGGTCATGAAAGTGCCTGGCCAGTACCATGTGACAAAGGAGGATTCATGGGGGGAATACAGCCAACTGCTGGCTCACTACACATTCCAGCAGAGTGAAGTTGTTAGCAGAGTACTGTGCAGGGTGCAGTGTGAGAGAGGCAGCAAGAGTGTGGGCAGGGCCGGCTCTGGCTTTTTTGCTGCCCCAGGCAAAAAAGCCTCCCGCCGCCCCACCCCCGCCCTGCGGCGGGGAGCGCGGCAGGGGAGGGCACCGAGCCCGGCCGCGGCCCTGCTCTTCCCGGCTGGCCGGAGCGCCGGGGGGGAGGGCGGTGAGCCCGGCCACGGCCCCGCTCTCCCCGGCGGCCGGCGCGCCAGGAGGAGGGCAGAGAGCCCGGCCGCGGCCCCGCTCTCCCCGGGTGAGCGCCGCCCCCCTCCAGGTGCCGCCCCAAACACATGCTTGGAGGGCTGGTGCCTGGAGCCGGCCCTGAGTGTGGGAGAGAGGACAACCTGCAGGCTGCAGGGAGAGAGATTTCCCTGCTCCCAGGAGGGTGTGCAAACTGCAGGGAGAGAGCGGAAGTTCCCTGCTCTGGAAGAGTGGGTGCTGCATTACTCCATGCCCCAGGAGAGGAGCGTTTGTGCTGCTAGAGTTAGTGGGTCTGTCTCAGGAATTGCTGGGTGTGACTGCAACCTGTGGAACAGCTGCAAAGTGAAGGCAAAGGCAGGGGCTGTTGTATAGCTGTTGAGTAAGATAATGACCCATGTGCCACTGCCATTACCATCCTGTGCAGCCGATAGCCCTGCATTCTGCAGAATAAATATGAACGGAAAAGCTTTTTACCCGCCAAGACCTGAACTATATGGTTCACGTTCCCACTTCAACAGCCGATGATATCACTAGAGCGGCATTACTTTCTGCATTCCTCACAATGCCCTTGAGGTAAGTGGTGCCATACGGTAGGGAACAATCCTGACCTGGCAGGAGAGTGATGGTCTGGATGCTCCTCTGTCTCCTGTGATTCTGGGTGACACACACAATCCTCAGCTCATGTTGTGGCATCTTAGGAAAGGAGGAAATGATTTCCAGCTTTTTTGTTGTCAAATGTATATCTTTGTAATTTTAACAAATGATAAATGACCAGTTACTGGTTTCCATGAATGTCAGGACAGAGAAGATATTGGGGCATCGAATATTTAATCCACTCCCAAATTGCCAGTGCGCATTGAGGACCCAATCCTACTCCCATTTACATCAGTAGCAAAATTCACTGCTGGGTTCAATGGGTGCTGGTATAAAGGGCCAGCTTTTTCATGGCATTCGGGCATCTTGGGCCTGTTGCTGATTTGGTATGTTAAAGGCTGTTGCTGATCTGGACTCTTGAAAAGTTTGTTAATTATTATAATTTCATTTACAAGGAAAGCTTTACAGTTCGCCTTTACAACTATCAGCAGGAAGCAACGTGTTGTTTCCAGAAAAGAAAGTGGCAATGGAAACACTGCCCAGGTCACTTTCTTTGATTTGACAGGCTGAGACTTGAGGTCACTTTGAAACATAACCTGCCAACAAGTGCCACTTGAACAATTCAACAGCAGGGTCTAATGTTCTTCCTGATTCTTTGTACCAGAATAGAGTGTTCCCGTTTAAAAACCCTTCCCCCTTCTTTCTGGAAGAAAATATTCTCAATGGAGCTAAATTCTCACTGCCTCGAAGAGAATAATATCCACCCTTGGAGTGAACCTTTGTATAATGGAAAAGGTTATTTCAAAAGCGAGATGGTTTTTTAAGACTCCAAAGGAGTCTGGGGATTTTTTTAACCCACGCTGGAGGCCCTGTAGCAATGAAACGCAAGATGTAAAACCTGTGAAATGCCTCCGCTGGCTGTCAGTGTATTAACTTCTTTGCATATAAACACATCCAGAGTGGATGCAAAGGCTTCTCTTTACTGCAGCGTTCTCTAGAGTTGCTTGATCTTTCTGACTTGATTGGCTTGCCTCTTTTTTTTTTATTGATTGGTTTTTCACAGTCCTGGAAAATGCCCCGGCTGCCTTTTTAAGCTAATGGAAAATGTATGGGATAACTCAGCAAAAGAAGGAAATGTGCTTACTGCAGCGACAAATGTCATGGGAGCAAAAGCAAAGATAGATGCTCTGACAGTATCCACGGAGAGAGACTGACCCCGCCGCCCCATAATGAGAAAGCGGCCTATGTGTATGCCATACATTTAACCAAACACATGCTGCAGACTGCACACATTGGTTAGAAGGAGCAGAAAGACCGAGCTCAGCGTCCTGGCCTCTTTCATGCCCAAAGATTCTTATTTTCTCTATTCCTTGCACTGCCAGTGGCCCCTATAAACGCCTGGATTGTGCCTCCCTTTGGAGCAGTGTACACCCTTGAAGGTACTAGCAGGGAGCATTCTGTGCGCTCTGCCTCCCCCCGGAGTGGATTGGGGTAGGCAGCCCCCCATCCCTCCCTCCTTCCCTTCTATCCCCACGCTAGCGCAATCCCTTAAACAGCACTGGATCCTAGAAATGAAGGCTGCTTGCAAACGAGTAGGTCAGGTAATTTATAACCCTGCTGGATGATCCACCACAGCGTGCTCTCCAGCACTAAATGTGGGGACAAGCTTTTATCAGCACTTAATACAGAGCAGCTGGTTTGTTGCAAGACACAACAGTCAAACCACTAGTTCAACAGTGACTGGCTGAGGTGAGATGATTCTTGCGTCAGCAGGGACCAGTGGGGATAAACATACCTGTGCACTTGTGGAGACTCGGTTACAGGGGCCTTATTGGCACATCTATTGTGCCACGAGGTTATTACCTGCTGCCGGGAAGGCTTGTGATGCCACTTATAGGGGAATCATAGATCAAAGTTAATGTCGTTTGAATGGAGATGTTGCTTGGCATACCACAAATATGGCAATTCTGTTGGAAACAGTAGTAACTGTAGTACTGGATATTGGGACCTGCCTCTTTCTGATTATATGTGCATGACCAGCAAGCTGGTGCCTCCCACAGTTAGTAGGTTTGAAGAGTGGCCCTCTAGATGAGCTAGAAAGCAGATCTGTTACAGGACCCCAGAGCAACAGGAGCAAAAGCTGTTTTACTCTGCATGAAACTCCTGATTCGGTTGTAAACATAACAAAACAGGGCTTTGCATAAACACATGGAACTGCTTGGAGGATCCCCATTCATGCTCAAGGGAACTCTTTTCAATATAGTATTGAAAGACCTTTCTCTACAGGCAGACTCTGTTTTAATCCAAATGATATTTTTGATGCTACTTTGACCGTAATGCCTTTTCCTAGCGTGTGACATGAGTGGCTCCCTTCAGAGCATTTGACAATGTTGGTTTAACTGCATTTCCTATCAGAATTGTGTGTACATAATTTCAGCTGTATGGCATTTGCACAGTGCCCACATGATGAGAGTAATATTCTGAAGTGCAGAGTTTGCATTGTTATGTTGATTATCACCTTTGCATGCCATACACATGTATGTGTGTGCATGTGTACACACACACACAAATACAAAGTGTGCATAAGTGTATATATACAGATACACACACAAAATAATAGTGCTCACAGGTTACATATTATATAGATATGTCAGTTAATGGTTCATTTATATTTTACATATTTAGGTTACTACCTGAAAGCTTCAAATGAAAACCAATCTTATACCACATCTGACTTATAGTAGCTCTTATTGCATGATTGTACTGTATATTTATTTACTAACTGACACCGTCTTTCAAAAACCTTGTTTTCAGCTCTGTGTAATAATAGGAAAAGGCACAAGAGAGCCAACTGGCTGAAATCCACTTGAAAAATAATTGAATACAGGTCTCCAAAATCTGAGGTTGTTTATAAAGGATTTGGCTTCACTCCGTTTTCTCCGAAGAGGGTCATGATTCCATCTTAACTTCATTTGTTGCTAACTGAGAAAATGTCTCCTACAGTGGTTGCTCAAAATGGAATAAATGGGGCCTGGGTGGGTGGGAGAATTTCTCTCTGCATGCACTGCATCTGTCAGGTCTTTTTGTCCGGATGGGGATACATTTAAAAAAAATCCATATAATAAAATGACATCTGCGATCTGGCTTAAAAAGAAAAAACAAAGCTCCGTTTTTCTTTCATTAAGATGACGACGAGTGCCCAAATATCATGAAGGCTGGGCTCCAAGTTGGCAGACAGACATTCCTCTAGTGCAGTGTTTCCCAAACTTGGGACGCCGCTTGTGTAGGGAAAGCCCCTGGCGGGCCGGGCCGGTTTATTTATCTGCCGTGTCCGCAGGTCCGGCCGATTGTGGCTCCCACTGGCTGCAGTTCGCCGCTGCAGGCCAATGGGAGCTGCTGGAAGCGGCGGCCAGTGCATCCCTCGGCCTGCGTCGCTTCCAGCAGCTCCCATTGGCCTGGAGCAGCGAACTGCAGCCAGTGGGAGTCGCGATCGACCGGACCTGCAGACGCGGCAGGTAAACAAACCGGCCCGGCCCGCCAGGGGCTTTCCCTACACAAGCGGCGTCCCAAGTTTGGGAAACACTGCTCTAGTGACTTAAAGGCATTGATCAATCAGCACCACTCATTATCATGATGTCCTCTATGGAAACAAATGCTGCGGCCTTCTAGGAATGACATACTCTGATTCAAGACAGTGTCAGCCACAAGTTGGGACATCAGTAGAGTAATCATGGTCTCCAATCCATCTAATAGCCTTTACATGCCTCCCTTTAGAAGGTGCAATAACAGTCTCTGAATGTTCCATCTCCTTTTTTCACCCTTCAGATAGAAAAGAGTGTGTTAGCAATGTTGTCTATTTCACTCACTGCCTTTCTCCTCTCAACTCAATATTGTCTCATCGCTGTTTCTCTTTCTTTCTCAGGGCATGACCTTCATCAGCACAATGGATCAGAAAAAAGAGCAACCTGCCAAGTCTTCCTAGCTCCTAGTTGTACAAAGTTCCTGATCCCTCACAGATCTCCAGTCAACAATCCCAACTACACCTTCCCTCCTACTGAAAGAAGCAAGTCAACAAAGTCTAGCTCAAACCTGAAATGTTACCAAAAGCCCTGTAAGAAACTCCCCCCTGAAATTTTACAGCCAGCTCAGTGCACTGCGCATCAGATTCCAGATCGGAGGGAAGTTATGTTTGTGTAGCTAGTAGCAGAGATTGCACAAATAAATAAACACGCAACTATATTCAAGATTATACACACCGTGCTATACTGTGTGTAGAAGTATATACTCAGAATGGATGATCGGTATAGAAACAACGCAAATCTGTATCAAGGGGCTAAGGACATAGCTAGAGAGGTGAACCAGGTGTCAGATGACTACCGGTATCAGGATGGCAACTATGCACCTTCAGATGGCTATTACCGTGATGGGACCCAAGAAGAGGATGCCCAGAGCGATGCCACGGAAGGCCATGATGAGGAAGATGAGGTCTACGAAGGAGAGTACCAGGGCATCCCTCACCCAGATGACATTAAGGGCAAACAGAAGAAGAAAGCCCCTGCCATGGCCGATGAGTTTAGAGACAAGGCTGAGCTCATAGCCGAGCGGATGGAGGATGAGGAACAGCTTGCCCACCAGTATGAGAACATCATCGAGGAGTGTGGCCACGGGCGCTTCCAGTGGATGCTCTTCTTTGTTTTAGGCTTGGCACTGATGGCGGATGGAGTGGAGGTGTTTGTGGTTGGCTTTGTTCTGCCCAGTGCTGAGAAGGATATGTGCTTGTCCAGCTCAAACAAAGGGATGCTAGGTAAGTACCACTGAACAGCCTTCCTTCAGACATTATGCAGCCAGGATGGATTCAAACATAGCTTATTCCATAGGGTGGGTTCATTCACGATCCCCCCCCCCCATTTTCCCCATCCTGACTCACTCTCATGGGGCTGAGGATGGCTAGATGGAGCTGATTCCAGACCCTGTCCATGCCCTTCCATGTGCTGATGAGAACGGGGCTTCTCAAGAGCAATATAATGGAATCATGCCCATACCCAGCTGCCAAATGTGCTCACAGCTCCTGTACTCACAGCCCAGGACAAACCTGGCACCTCAACTTGAATTACCTCCTCTGCCAGGCAGCCTAGTCTGCAGTTTCCAGAGAGCAGGTTTATTTATACAAAAATATTAGACTTATGTAAAGGACAAACATGCATGGACACATTCCCAATCCGAGCACTCAGGGAACTAGATTTCAACCCTTTTAGTAGCTCAACTGTAATGAGAAGTTCACAAAACAGGTCTGATGGAGCCTAAAGTAGATGAGTCAGTTTAACTGTATATTAAACTGTTAAGTGGGTGAGCAGAACCTATGTCCCAGAGGATCATTTCTGTGTATCTGCCTCCATCCCAGTTCATTTCCATTCACAGGAGGGTGAGCTTCCCTTAGACATATTTTCTTATGTACGGGAGTCTCCTATCTAATCAAATCTAATCTAATGCCCATCACTGTGGTATCTGAGTGGCGTAGAAATGAGGAGGAAAGAGAAACTTTCTGATCAGGCTTGAAGAGGAATGGATAGATGAGAATGAGGAGAGACCTAGGAAGGAAAACAAGAGACACAGGGCTTCTCTGCAGAGAAGAGCACTCTTGGGCAGGGCTTGCTGCAACATTTTTTGGATGGAAAATTCAGTTTTTGACTAAATGTTATTTTTTGTGGAGAGACACAGAAAGGTTCCTTCAGATAGCAGGATCTGCAGAAACGACGGCTCTCACGCTGACAGTCGCAGAGCATTCCGAAGGGTAATGAGGGGACCAGTGCTAGATTAGGGTCGGGAAATGGAAAGAGTTTAATTTAAACACCCTAAAGGACAGTCTAATCACAATGGAATGTCTCTGATTCCTTGCATCTTTCTTTCCTCTCCACTGCAAATCCATTCCCAGCGTGATGATAGCCGAAATTCTGCAAAGTCTCAGTGAGCTTTATAGAGTTACCAGCTGGAATCAGTGTTAGTATAAATTGGAGGCATTTGTAACAGTTTTGAGTCCTCTCTCTCTCTCTCTCTGTCACCTGGGGGCTACTGAACAATGGAGCATCTAGTTGGTGCATTTCCTTTCCATCTGGTCACACAGCTTCAGGTTTTCACAGGTATCCCTTCCTCGGTGCTACCCCTTATGCCTGCAACTCCATCCCTATCTTTTCTCCTCTTTTAAATCTCTCCTAAAAACCTCATTTTCCCGTGACGTCTAGTCAATATTAATCAACCCTCAAACTGCATGGTTTGGTAGGAAGTCCAACTTTTGTCCAGTCAGCTCAGTATGAACCTGCATTGTATTGTGTGTCTCTTTGAATTGAAAGTCTCCTTGACTGATAGGATTCTGCTTCCTCAGTGGTTGGTATGGTGCAAGTGGACTGAAAGGCCTATCTGAAATAACAACCTGCTGATCTATAAGGGCTCGGTTCTGCACTCCTTACTCAGGTAAAATGCCCACCAAAATCAATGGGAATTTCATCTGCGTAAGAAGTACAGGATTTAGCTCTATCTGGTTTAACACTCATAAAACCAGGAAACGTTATGCATCAACTGGCTTTTTATTTTCTCCATCCAGAGGCAGAGGTGGCTGCAGCTCAGTTCTATTCTTGGTGCCTGTGTAGGTCTCTTTTCTTATCATGTACCTTCCCCCCACGCCTCAGTGTTCCCCAGCTGCTGATCTTAGGCCTCCAGAGCAATTTGCAAGCTGCCACATTGTCTCCCCTGATGCTGCCCTTCTCACTAATGTTCTTCTCTTTGTCCAGACTCCATGTCTCTTTGCCCAAAGTCCTAATTAGCAGAGAAGCTGTGCAGTCATTTCCCTTTGGACACCGGATTCTCAGCTGAAGCTGTTTGCTAATGTGTACTGGGTCAAAAGTAGCCTATGGAGGATTCCTCCTAAATCTGGGGAATGAATTTAATGTCCCACATGAGATTAAAGAGTCAACCTGTAACAATATGCACTTGGTTTCACTCCTGACCTGTCCCCTTGGGCATTAAGCAAAGGTTTATTTATTTTAACTGAGGTTGAAGTTGAGTGGAATAGTTTGGATAAAATAACTTTTTCCTGAAAACTCAAATAAGATATAGACTTTCCCAGGCCCCTAGGAATCCAGGCTTGATCTGAATTGGGATGGTTGGGTAGTGTGTGCATCTATAGTGGTGGTGAGAAATCTCCTGGGCTTGTAGCTTATATCCTGGCCTGTGATCCTAACCAGTTTACCCCAACTGAAATTAACTTGAAAGCTTGAGTCAGATCCATCCCCCATATGCCACTTTAGCAGTACAAAGGGAACAGACAGCTGCCCTTATAAGGACCTCTCTGGCTGGTGTAGCTTAGCTCAGAGCCACCTTTCTCTCTCCAGTCCCACTCCCAAGTCCTGCACTAATTGTACATCAGCTGGACTTGGGGGCTGGGCATTTATTTATTTAGCTAATTAGTCTCCCCCCACGCTCCGAAAGCGTATTCAATTTTCTAGGGCCAAAATGTCAAAAGAGTTCAGGGTCAGATTTTCAGCAGCTCCCATTGGGAGGCTTCTGGCCAGATTTTCAGCATGTTGGGTGGTGGGAACCTTTGAACAACGGGCCCTTTATTTTAAAAATCTGACCCTAGAAATGTCTATCTTGGTGGAGCTCAGTCTAACATGCACCAGAGTCAGAAGCACTGATATGTCCCCCCCACCCAAATATCTTTGAAGCATTACTGGCCCATCCAGAGTGAGAGAGTACCAGAAGTCTCACGAGGAAGCTTGTTCTTCTGTTTTTCCCAACCCAATACTTACCTGACTCAATGTTCACAGAGTGAGCTTGGCTAGGCAAGCAAACTTTTTGCACGTTTATCCAATTACCGCTTATAGACCAGGTCAGGTTCATCTGCCTGCAATTTTTAATGAAGGGGGATGGCATTTTCCTCCTAGTTCCTTCTCACTGGGAGTTCTCTTTAAGGTTAAAAGGGGCCTTTTTGCAGTTTTCCCACACCCCTTTCCTAGTTGTTTGGGGAGTCAGATTTCGGAGCTTGTTTTCAGAGCTTGAGGCTGGTGCAGCTCAATGAAGAGCCAGATAGGGGAGGTGCAGAGGAAAGTGGAGTATTTCCCTACTGCTACTGGTTGATGTGGGACAGGAAGAGGTTCTCAGATCCAGGTCATTTTTTTTTTAAATAAAAAAGGTTTGGCTTATATCGTCTCAACTGTCGTGGTTTCCCTCCTGCAGCAGGCTTAATGCATGTCGGAGGAGTCGGCTTGGATTCTAGGGCTCTGAGATAAATCGGTGTGAAAAGGAATTGTGCTAAGAATGGCTTAGCAAACACTTAGCCTGCAGAGATGTGCAGGAATGAATATTCAATGACACAAATACCCTCTGGCTCTGGAGGGTTCTGTGTCCGCGGTGTAGGATTTCTCCTCTTCTGAGCACCCAGGGAGGGTATGGCATGTTAGAGCAGGCACAGCTGGAGTTTAGCACTTGAAGAGTCATCTCTCTCTCTCTGTCACCAGTATCAGGATGGCAGCTATGCACCTTCAGATGGCTATTACCATCACCTGAAGAGGAGAACTATAAAGGTGCTAATGATGGATACAAAAAAATAAGCTTCCTCAGAACCTTTCCTGGCTCAATTTCTCTGGCCACACACCAACTACTCAAAAAAGGAGGCAGTAGCCAAACCTATTCAAGATGCCCAGAGCGTCTGCCACAGGCTCATTTCCTTCTGGGTATTCTAATTCTTTGATGTTCGAGGGGTTGTACTCTGGCAAATTAGTCTTGTTAACGCTCAAGGTTCAAGGATACTTGTAGACTGACTTGTCAGAATAATGGTAGCAATCAAAGAGCTCTTTTGGCTCAATCTGTGCCTAATGTGCAGTGATAATCTGCAAGAGTGTGTCTCTGAGAAATGAGCAGAGGTTTGATGAGAGTGGGCATGGCTTTCACTCAAATTACCATGGCCCCTGGGTCATTATATACGCAGGAGTTACTATCCCTTACCTTTTCTACATACAAATAGAATCAGCACAAGGGTTCATATTTATTCTCTGGTGACTGTTCTAGTCATATTTTTGATAAGGAAACATGATTAGGTCATTCCAGACAGAGCTAAGGTTGCTTCCAGGCAGCAGCTAATGTTTGCACATATGAAAGTGACTCTCGCTCTCTTGGTCATGGGTGGAGGGGAGTGGGCGAATGGAAAATGAACAGGAGAAATAATCAAACCATTTAAGAAAAGAAGACAGACAAATTGCAAGAGCTAAAAGTGGCGCTGCCTAAATTGGTGAACTTTGGCTTTTGCCGAAAGGATGTTTTGCCTTTAAGTCCCAGTGTTTTGCATAGGTGCTGGAACTGGGGGTGCAGGGGATGCTGCTGCACCCCCTGGCTTGAAGTGGTTTCCATTATATACAGGGTTTACAGTTTGGTTCAATGGCTGTCAGAACCTGCACTATAAAAATTGTTCCAGTGCCCCTGGTGTTTTGCACGTTTTTCCCCCTTCAGAAAAAGTGGAAAATTTACCAAAATTACAGTCAGCTTGAGTAAAAACTGCAAACAAACAAATGCCCATAGAGTTTCTTGAAATGTGAGAAATCCATGTGACACCTCTGAGATTTCATAAAACATTTCAATTTTGTGCTGAAAATAAACAGTTCTACTTCAGATGCAAATGAACAGCTGTTTTAACCCCAGTTATTCCTAATGGTAAAGAACAAGTATTTGGGTTTTCCCTTGATGTGAAATGTTATTTCAAAGATAAGTGCTGGGCAAATTAAAAACCCACACCCACAGCAGTGAATATTTTAGCAC